TTCCTCTCCTAAGAGCTTGGGCATCCCTTTTTCCTGATATTTCGAGGATGTTTTATCTTCAAATAAATGATTGAGAGCCCTTTGTGTAAACCTCTGTGCAATGTGTCTTGCCAAGAATGCTTTGCGAGTGATATCTGCTCCTTATGCCGATCTGGCTACCACAGAAGCAGCAGGAAAGAAACGCCGTTAAACAAACTACTCTGTGCCATTTCATTATGATCCCCACTTCCAGTTATCAAAAGGTCTAGGCAAAATTTAAAGACACCTGATGTGGGCATCAATGAATTTCATCCATGATAGAAGCTTTTGGAAATGTTTATTCCATTTGGCACTTTTTCCAAATTATGTTATTTTTCCCTGCTCAAAGTCTGGCAGTGTAGAATCCTTCCATGTGCTATTTATGCATCTCACCACTTGCCTAGGGTGGAAAGTCAAGAAAGATAGAGCATAATGGATAATTTTTATATAAATGCATACAATGTATTAAAGTTAGTAATAATATTCTCTCAGAATGATTGTTAAATGGTGTTTTAGCCCATCACGTATTACCTTAGTGCTGAGATAAACAGGCCAAATTCACCCTCAAGACATCAGGTAGGCAGAAATTCACTTGGAATAGGTATTCAGATTTGAAAATACATTCATGCCTACAAAATATTCTAAATCCATATTCTAAATTCCAATAAAGTCAGCTTTCTTTCTGCTTCTGTTTGTATTGCAATGTCATAAGGCCGGGAGGAGGGTTCCAGCCTCCTCTTCACTCTATCATCTTAATAGTTATCCTTGATCCTATTCTCACTGTGTGTCCAGATGTCAGGGCATCAGCATCCTTGTTTCTAAGCTCTACCAGAAAAATTAGCAGCTGTTGCCAATGTCCATTTAGCCACCAGTCCTCTGAAAGGAACACAGGAGAAAAAAATCTATGTACAGAGTTCACTAGGTCCCTGCAGATCCTTATCTGAATGAAATGTGCTACTCGGGAGGTGGTCTAATCCTTATTTGATTTTGAAGTCATGCCCTATTTTCCTGGCAAATAAACATTTACATTCTGGGCTTCTCGATAGTTTTACATAAAAAACTTTTGTTTTTATAAATCAAGCCTAGTGGCAGTAAACAGCTCTTAGTATCGAAGGGTGAAACAGACTGTGTGGCAAGACATGTGCATTTTATCCAAATTAACATTTATTTCCAAATTAAAATATGTATGTGCATATGTGTGTGTATTGGGGAAATATGAATATATAGTAAATATATGTATTATATATTAAATATGTTCAACATAAATATATATTAAGGATATTAAATTTTTATATTTTATATTTGTATAAATATATATTTGTGTAAAATATCAACAAAAGATATTATATGACAACTTCTAGGTATGCATAGCTCCAGTTATCACCAGTCTAAGTCCATTCGGGCTTTTATAGCAAAATACCATAGATGGGGTGAGTTACAAACAACAGAGATGTATTTCTCAAAGGTCTGGAGGCTGGGAAGTTCAATGTCAAAGTGCTGCTAGATTTGGTGTCTGGCGATACCCAGTTCCTCATAGTCAGCCACCTTCTCGCCGTGACCTCACAAGGAAGAAGGGGAGAGGGAGCTCTCTGTGGTCTCTTTCTAATCCCATTCGTGGGGTCCCCCGCTCATGACCTAACATCACCTCCCCAAAGCCCCACCTCCTAACACCGTCGCCTTCATATGACAGGATTTCAACCTATGAATTTTTAGGGCAGACACAAACATTCAGACCACGGCAGTACTCTTCATTCTTTATTTTTTTAGTTATCAGGTGCTATTTATTCAATTATGACAAATTATATTCTTTCGAAACTAGGAGTTCTTGACCTGCTGAAGAATAAGTAGGAAGGAACCAGAGAATCACGGTGTCTGCTCTGGCAAAAGAGACATCCAGCTTTCCTGGCAGAGTCTCCTGGACTCTGCCGATTGTCTCCCCACTCCTGTGAGCAGCACAGAGCCACCAGAATGCCTGCTGAGAATCCTGAGCTCTGGGAGGGCAGGAGAGCTATCACCATGCTCCTGACTCCTTTTCAGGGCAGAATGTCCTCACAAGTGTGCAAGGCTGCCATCTCTATCTGAGTGTGAATTCCGTTACCACTGGCTATGATTATTGGCAAAGGAAAGAAAGAAAAAACGGAAAGTGTTACTGAAAGCTCAGCGGTGCTAGGCAATCTGGACGCGCTCCTGCTCCACCCCTCAGTGCTGGGAGCATCAAAAGTGAAGAAAAGGCAACCCCTTACAGATGCAGCTAGCTCCCAGGCTGCCAGCCCCTTACAGATGCAGCTAGCTCCCAGGCTCCCACTTCCACCCCCACCAGTACTATATCTCATCCTCAGGTGCGAGCTCAAGCCGCGCTGGTGTCCGCAGAGCGCTGCTGAGTATCCTATCTTTCAAGATGAATAGAACCTCAGCAGGTGGGAGGGAGATCAGAGTCCTCATCATTGCTAAAAGCCAAGATTGCCCTTCCTTTTGGGCTCAAAATAGGTTGTCCCCTGCTCAAGAAAAACCCAACTTCGGAGACAGTTCCCAGAGTTCATGCAATGATGAAGGTTGGGACTGGGGTAGTTTTGAAATCGCGAATTGGTTTACACTTAAGGTTTTCCTTAAAGACTTTCTGTTTATTTTAGCTGATTACAAAAGTGGGAAGTACATGTTTCTTTTCTTATGAATGGTTTAAAATGCAGCATGTATACCACCTGGGATAGAAAAGTACATACCAAGCTCGAAATTATTAGTTTTGAAACATATAAATATTTCTAGTCAACTCAAGACATTTATGTGCACCTACTATGTATCATAAACCTTACCAGTTGCTGCCAGGACACAAATAAGAAAATGACTAAATCCTTGTCTCAAACGAGTTTTGAGTGTAATAGGAGGCAGTAATGCTGTATAACAAATCACTCTCCAACTCAGTATTTTAGCTCACACATTTGTGGCTCATCTGGGCATTGCCTGACCCCAGCTGGGCTGGGTTGAGTTCAGCTGCAGGTTGGGGCTGGTTCTGTCAGCTCCGTGGGCCTCTCATAGCCCTAAGACCGACCAGTGGACTAGCCAGCCATATTCTTTCCATGGTAATGGAAAAACACCAGAGGGCAAGCCAAGCCATACCGACAGCTTTGGGCCCATCACATCCCCTAACATTTATTGGCCAAAGCAAGTCACATGGCCAAGCCCAACATCACTAGACCAAGGAAATATACTCTGCCTGGGAGGAACTGCAAAGTCACATGACAAAGGATGTGGGGATTAC